ACCGGAGCACCCGGAGGAAACCCACGCCAACACGGGGAGAACATGCAAACTCCACATAGAAACACCAACTGATCCAGACGGGACTCAAACCAGCAACCTATGTATGAGCGTGTGTGTGAATGAGTGTGTAGGGGTGTTTTTTCAGTGTTGGTTGCTGCTGGAAGAACATCTGCTGTGTAAAACATTTGCTGGATAAGTTGGCGGTTCATTCCGCTGTGGTGACCTCTAATAAATAATGGGACTAAGCCGAAGGAAAATGAATGAACGAATATATTACTTTTCCTCAACATTGCTGATAACTAGTGCAAATAAACAGAGCAGCTCACACACACACACACAAACACACACACACACACACGTAAATACATTTTTTAAATCAGAAAACATCCAAACGAAGGTCCTGCTGTCATCCCAGATCCATTATTGTCTACTTAATTCATTTCCTCAATCTTTTAGATGAGTGAACGAGCGTGAAGATGACAACAAAACATCTGCGTCTCCCGGCTGAACGCCTCAGGTTTGTTTCAGCGCTGTTTTAATAACAGGGAAATCAGCTTTCATGTCGAGGTTACAGTCGAATACGGCGCTTTCTCTCGCAGGACGACGCGCTAATGCGTTTCTGAAAGCGGCGGCTCTTGAATGTCAGCGCAATTAAAGTGAATGACAGACGATGCTCTTGTTCAGGAGAATGTAAGCACAGGTGTCGAACACCAGCACACTTCATACAGGTTTTATTTTAGCTGGCATTCAAGACTTTAAATGCGATGCTCGGATTTGCTAGCTCAGGGGTCAGTGAATCAAATGACATTATCTGAAAGCATTATAGACCCACTTCACATTTTCAAGACTCCCAGAAGCAGATGCTGTAGAGAAACTTTTGGATATTGTGAAAATATTGTGATTTTTTTAATGCTGCTAATACATTATTAGAGGATGCGACACTTTCGGTTTTACTACATTGCTGTTTATTTGTAATTAAGTGCATTATTGGACTGAAAATGCATCTCTTTTTGGTCAAATAGACAAGAAAAAAATAAGAAAAATACAGTTAAATATTTTATTTATTATTTATTTATTTATTAAGTTAACTGATAATGGCAACTTCAGAGTTTTGTTGGACTGAAAATACATTTCTTTGGTCCAATAGATTTAGAAATTATAATAAAAAACAATAATTAATATTTATTTTATTATAATAATATTTAATAAAATAAATTAATAATGTATTTTAAGTGGGAACTATTTCAGTGTATTATAATACTGAAAATGCATCTATTTTTTGTCAAATAGGTTGAGAAATGACGAGAAAAAATAAGACAATACATTTAAATATTTTTACTCATAATTATTTATTAATTTATTTAACTTTTAATGGCAACTTCAGAGTATTATTGGACTAAAAATGCATCTCTTTTTGGTCCAAGAGATTGAGAAATTAAGAAAATTATTAAGAAAAAATAATTAATATTTATTTTATTATTTATTTATTAAGATTTTAAGTGGGAACAATTTCAGTGTATTATTATACTGAAAATGCATCTCTTTTTGGTCAAATAGATTGAGAAATGACGAGAAAAAATAAGAAAAATACATTTAAATATTCTTATTTATTATTATTTATTAAGTTAACTTTTAATGGCAACTTCAGTGTATTCTTGGACTGAAAATACATTTCTTTGGTCCAATAGATTTGGAAATTAAGAAAAAAAAGAATATTTATTTTATTATTTATTTAATAAGGTAATTTTAAGTGGGAACTATTTCAGTGTTTTGTTGGACTGAAAATGCATCTCTTTTTTTGGTCCAATACATTAAAAAAGTACATTAAATATGTATTATATTAAAATTTTTTTATTTATTTACAAACTAATATGGGTGAAAGAAAAGACATCCCATTTTGATTAAATTAAATTCACATTAAAATAGTACGTAAAAACATGCGATATATCATCAAATAGTTTTTATGTAAATATATCTCATGTTTTATATACTATTTTAATAGCTGTCTTCATCAAAACATTTAAAACTATTAATAAAAAAATGTAGCAACAAATTTAAAGCACAACTAAATCAAAGAGCACCAATTTTTGACTTTCATTCATTTTACCTAAAGCACTGCGTCACTAAAAATCAAGCACGAAAGTCCATACTGAGGTTGAGTTTCCCTGCCCTTAAACGTATTATTTAAGATGAATCAAAGCTTAAACACAGTCCACACATTTGCAGCAAACACGTGATGATAAGATCAACAACACCATTTCGTTCTCAGTTCTGCCGCTGAATGAGTTGCATTAGGAGCCGGTGCTCTCACACTGACCTGCTTTTGTATAAATGGAGCCGCGTGGCATTAAAATCTCACCCTTATCAGCACAAGAGCACAGCAAGACATTAAACAGCAAGATGGCTTGTGCGATGGCATTCTGAGCACTGGACCGGGCTCTCCATTGTGCCCCAGAGAGCCAAATATGCTTTTATTGAGCGCCGGTGTGAATGCAGGCCTGCCACAACACTCACACACTCAATCAGGAATACGTGCACTGAACAATAAGAGTCCCGAAAACATCTCAGTGCTTCAGACTGGTGTGAAATGACATCAAAACATGTACAAATATGCTGTGAAGACACGATATGGCTTATTCCAGAACTGCAGGAACATTTAAAACATTCATTTTTCATCAATTAGAATGGTAAACAACAAATGTGTAATTTGGAGTGAACTGAATAAAACCAGATAAAAGCTGTGTAAAAGCAAGCACCGTCAGTAGCAGCAGGCTAGTGCAGAAACTCCATTGAAAATACTGGAACAATGGAGTTTAATGCAACAACTCTTGGACCCTCTTTAAATAGCATATCAATCGGGCAGCAGTGAAGATCACTTATTTTTTTTAAAAACAGACCTTAAACGCAACGATTTTGTAAGGGCGTAGAGTTTACCGGAATCACTTGAACTGGGTTATTGCAAATTAAAAGCCCTTCTGCATATATACGCTATATCAGAGTTGATAGTAACAAAGTAACTGGTGCTATTATTCAAAGGTTTTTGCATTTAAAAAAATTATAGTTTTATATATATATAGAAAATATAAAATATTCACAATAGAATTACACATACACTGACAAGATTTTAGTTAAGGGTTTACTTTGGAAAATGTTTCATGCAGAAATTGCCAGTAAATGTTACTATGATTACAAAGAAACAGACACATTCCCAGCATATCTCAATCCCAGAACATTCCCAAAACCTGCAACGTCCTTGGAAAGTTACTTTTTTTAGTAACAAAAATATTATTATTCACGTTTGATTTATTACATAACCAAATTTATAGCCATACAGTATTTCCCATGAGCCTACAATTCGGTTATTTTGGAAATCAAACATGAGACTATTTCATTCACTATTTAATGTCTTCTGGTAAAATATTCCCCAATAATCTTCATTTTAATCTTGACAAAACGTGTACAGTAGAGCAGACAAAAACAATTTGCAGGCAAAATCCAGTCATTTGGAACCTTCTTAAACTGTCGTGTTTTAATATACTGAATAATTAATAAAATCAGAGACATCAATGATCACAAGGATTAAATAATGACTATGATTATAAAAAACATTTTACCATTACTGAATGTCTCTGATTTCTCATGATGATTACAAAAAATAAATATATAAAACTCCTGGGACATTATTTTCTGTGTTTTGCAAGGCATACTGTAATCATCTTTGCTTTGTGTGATTGTAAATAAGTACTGTAAGGGTTGAACAATAATTTTAAGAGTTGCTTCTGGTTAGGTTAAATAAGAGATTGAACAATCTTTTTTGACATTCCTTTTTATGAATGTGTCGTGTTTTGATCTATTATTTAATTTAAAAAGTTATCAAAGAACATCAATAATCACATGGAGAATTAAATAGGTTTGAATGTTGTTTTCCAACTTCACAGAACCGTTAACTATTGTATTTTCCATGTGGGTGTAGTTTCCATTAAGCTTTATCTACTTAAAATACGCTGATTTACTATATTTACGTCAAATAATCTTGTTTACAGTGTAAACTACAATCGACAGAAGAAAAAAAACACATTTTAGTCACTAAATTTTAAGCGCGAAATCCAGTCATCCTAGTCAGTAGTTTGGCGCGAAAGTTTCCCGGCCGCTCAGACTTCTGTTGATCAAGATAAATCAATCAATGACTGTAAAAAATATGGACGACGCGACAGCCCTTTTTCCCATTGAACGCCTTGAGGGCAAAACGCCTGCTTGACGGGCACAAACTGTCGCAAAAGACTGCTGAAATTGGAGCCAGACATGCGCAGAAGGACTGTCTGATGGAGCCAGAGGAGGAGCCGCGAAAATGAGCAGAGTCGAGCTTCCAATCAAACGCTTTATGTAAAATCAACTACGCCCCCCGAACTTCTCAGCATGCGTTTGCTGTCATATCAACACAAATGGATGTAATAACGTTAACAAATATGAGGGTTTTATATATTCAATCGCGCCAGCTCCAGGCCGCAGCGCACAACTTACTCGCGGCGTCGCGGGCTGATTCCGGCTCGCATGCGGCAGCGCCTGCTCGCTCGGCCGCCGCATCTGGCTCGATTGACTCGGACTGGAATCGGGCAGTGAGTCCAGGCATCCGGAGTAGGTCCAGCAGAGGTAACATTAGTCAGTCTGAGCTCTAAGAGATAAGTCTCCGGCAGGCGAGAATCTAGCCGGAACTGTGTTTTGCTATCTGGGTGGTTAGGCGTGTATCAGCAAACTAATAAAGCCCGAAAAAAGCCCTGAACTTAGCGAATAAACAGTGTTCCACCAGGATCATGTATGTCAGAAACTATAGTTTACTGCTGAACTCATTTTGTCATGGTAAAATAACACAGAAATCGAATAATAACATTTCAGTCTACTTCAGTCTCCTGCCGAAGCTCAGACGCCGCGCTTTGAGAAACTGTAAATCACAGCTGTCAATCACGATGACACGCCCAGCATTAAATTACTGCTAAAAACAAACTGTTTACAAAAATGAAGATCTGCACCTATTTCAGCACAATAACCAGTGCCTTAATCGACCAGAACTATCTTTCGGGACATTTTATTGCAAGTGTAATATTTTTTTTTATTTGGGCTCAAGTCTCCTTCATTAACACGGAGGAGGCGGGCTTTATGACTTGTACTGCAGCCAGCCCCCAGGGGGCGATCTAACGGCCGAAACCTTCACTCAAACGTAGGCTTGCGGCACACTTGAAATCAATCTTGTTTGAGAGTTATTCAATTCCTTTGTGAGCTGTGTTTCATTTATCACCGCAAAATTGAGTGTAAACTTACTGACCCGTACAATTTTACCAAAATACCGCTAAAGTGATGGCTACTTAATGTAGGAGACAGTACGCCATTGTTGATTAGCTAACAGACTGGCCTCGCCTGAAGGTAACGGTGTAAATCTTACCTTACATTTATTTAGGCTCTGGTTTGACTCCTCAGCGGCTGGGAAGGCTCTGACATCCACAATCCCCATCGTAAAGCAGGTTTATATGGGAAAAGCGTGTCAATAATGACCTTCTCTGACTAATTAACTCGCTCTCCATCAGACTTCAGTCAAAGATCATTTACTGTCAGGCCAAACGCTCGATCACTCATGCTTAAACTTATTAGTGACGTATAAGAACAGCCATATCAGAGTCAGACAGACTTCACTAAATATTACAGCAGAATAATGATAAACACTGTCTGTTTAAACTACACATTTGCAGTCTGGCCCTCACATTTTGGCGTATTTTCACTGTACAATCATGACATCTTGTGGCGAGACGCTGTGTTTTTCCCCATTAAGATGCACTTGTTTATTCCAGATGGGTATTCCTAATGTTGGAATGCTATATTTTAACATATTATTAATTTAGCAGACGCCTTTATCCTTAGAAATTAAGATACTAAAAATATATATTTTAGTAACCTAAGCACTTAAAATCGCCACAAGATCAACATGTAGATGCAACAGCTAGCATGAAAGATAATTCATAGTATATAGGCTAAATTCCAGTATCCGTGAGCCATATTTTACTGTTTAGCCTATATTATTTACATATTAGTTGTAAGAGGTTAGCTAATTCTGTGGTGTGTTGTAGTAGCTATAATATACCATATATTTTGAAGAAAACAACCGTATTGGGTCATTTGTTTATAACTGCTATTGTGTTATTGTAGCTACTATAGTCACCCCTGCTGAAAAAAAAAACAGATTAAAGCAGACTGGTTGGTTGGTTTTAGAGGGGTTTTGGCCATTTCCAGCCTGGTCTTAGCTGGTCAGGCTGAAAAATGACCAGTTAAATCCAGCTAAAACCAGCCTGGTTTAGGCTGGACATAGCTGGTTTTGGCTGGGCTCCCAGCCTGGCTAGGCTGGTCAAGCTGGTTTTAGCTGGTCATCTTCAAGCCTAAGGCCAGGCTAGAAATGCCTGGGAACCAGCCTGGGAATGGCCAAAACCCCTCTAAAACCAGCCTGGTCAACCAGCTAAAACCAACCAACCAGTCTAGGCTGGTTTAAGCTGTTTATTTTCAGTAGGGACAACATATTAATTCAAGTTCAAATGACTAATGACATATTAATTCAATGTACTAATTACAACAACAGGTTCATTTAAGCCCTTTAGTTTGGTTTACTGTGTAAACCAAATACTCTACTGCGTTTACTATTAATTACTATAGATTTTCATTTGGGACGTCTTAGTTAGCTTAGAAATATGTGAAAAATGTGAACATTTAAGTTAAAAAGTTTAAGTAAAATGCCAATATATTGGCATTGAAACAAATATAATTGTTTTATTTTTTTATATTATTATAATGTATTTTACTGTACTGTATTTGATAACATTAAAATATCAGAGTTATTTCACCAAATAATGATTTCTCATCTCAAATAACTAAATAATACAAACAGTATTGTGTTGACTAAAAATAAAACTAGATAATAATCTGAAAAATATGGCACGCTTATTGTTTTTGTATGCACACAAAAAATGCTCTCATTCACAATATTGTTAATTAATATTGGGAAGAAGTGCCATCGGAATATTAATTATTTAAATTAAATAACTCCAGTGTAAAAGTCACTTTACTCCAGTAAAATCCAGTTAAAATGTAGACACCCCAGTTTTACATTAGTCCTTAAAGTTTCAGTTTTTGTCATATTTATTTATTATAATGTTCTTTACATTTCTTTTTTAAATTTTGTAATTTGTTTTATTTAAAACCCATCTGTTAAAGTTTACATTTTATTTAAATTTTAAATTAATTAAATTATTTTCCTGTTTGACATTTTTAGTGTTTATTTTGCCTTATTTTAAGCTATTTTAATATATCAAGACTAAAATGAGAACTAGATCAGGGGTTCCCAAACTTTTCAAACTGTGACCCCTAAAATAACAATGCCAGGGACTCACGACCCCTGTGAGAACTTCTGTGGTTTTATATTATGGATGGTGCACTGTATTATGTCCCTGATAGTGGCGAGACCACCCAATGAACAGTCGGTCGGTGAGTAAATGAATATAATAAATAAAAATACAAAGGCCTATGCCTATGCGTATAGACATATGATGTAATGCTGTACAGCACAGGTCTCTAAGTCAATTCCTGGAGCACCGCAGCTCTGCTTTTCTTCAACCCCAACTAAACACAGCTAATACAACTAATTAAGGGGTTTAAGACTCTTCTGAATGTTCATTTTAGGTTGAAGTGTCATGCTAACATATGCGTAGGAGTGATGTCAGTAAAGATGAGCTCATACTGGAGCAGCAGTGATCATCTGTCTGTCGCGTGTGTGTGTGTGTCTGATTAATGAATGTCTGAGTCTGTGGATTCAGCAGTCCTGCAGCATCACAAACCTGCTCACCTCTGACAAACATTAAACACACACACACACACACACACACACACACACACACACACACACATAAACGTACTCATACACACGCACTGCACATGAACTAATGATGCTCAAACATGAATATACTCAAACACACACACACACACACACACACACTACACAAACACACTACACATAAAAATACTGTCTCTCTCAATCACACACAAACATACTCACACACACTAACCCTTGAACACACTCTCAAACATATTCATATGCATACACACACACACACACACACACACACACAACAGACACACAAACTTTACATGAACAAACTCATACGCACACCCATTCACATTCTTTGCACACAAACATACACACACACACACACACACACACACACACACACACACACACACACACACACACACAAACATACTCATCCACACATACACTAACCCTTGAACACACTCTCAAACATATTCATACACTCATACACAGACACAAACACACACACACAAATTACACATGAACATACTCGTACACACACCCATTCACATACTTTACACAAACACACACACACTACACATGAACACACTCACAAACATAATCACACACAGACACATTTATAATCACATAATCACACACACACACACACATTTATAATCACATAATCACACACACACACATTTATAATCACACACACACACACACACACATTTATACACATAAACATACTTTCACACTCACACACTACATATGAACACACTCACAAACATATTCATACGCACACACACTCACACACAAACATACTTATACACACACACACACACACACATAAACACATTCATGCACATAAACATACTCATACACTAGACATGAACACACTTACAAACATATTCATACACACACCCGTACATGCACACCACACATAAACATACTCATATAGATACACATACACATGAACATACTCATAACACACACACACACACTTTGTTTGTGTTGTTTAGGCATATCAAATGTAAGCGAGGAGAAATGATGAGCAGAACTGAACAACTGCAGATATTAAAGGCACAGTGTGTATTTCCTCCACTAGAGGGCGAGGATTCACAACAAACAAATGCTGGATATATTTTAGCCCAATAACTGCTCAACAACCCCTAATCATTGGGTTTAAAATGTGTAATTTAGATAATTAACCCAATGGTGAATTTGTCCATGTTTGACCCAACATTGGGTTTGAGTGTTGTTTGAGTGTAGTCTAGAGAGCGACTGCTGTATTTACTCACTCCTGGCTGGACTTTAGACTGACGAGAGGTTAACGCTATTAGTAATTAGCAATATTAGCGATGATTAATAGTGAACTAGACTTACACAACAGCCTGAGCTGAGTCACACAGTGCGATGATGCTGATGCAGATAATAAATCAACCAACAACAGATCCACACCATCAGCCTAAAACACACTAAACTAACCAAATACTGTAAACACAAGGAGCAAAATAAGAAAATTAATAGAAAAGAGTTCAGAAAAGACCAAAGAGAATCAGAATTGTGTTAAAGCATGTTAATTATATCATATCACATAATCATATTTATATATTCATACTATAATTAGTGCTGGGCAAAGATGAATCTTGATTAATCGCATTCAAAACAAGCAGATTGTTTCGACATGAGATACATACGTTTATTCTATGTAGACACGTACATAAAAACAAAAATACAAATCTTACACAGATATTTAAACTTATATATATGGTTGAAGTGAGAATTATTAGCCCCCCTTAATTATTAGCGCCCCTGTTTATTTTTTTTTTTTTCCCAATGTCTGTTTAATGGAGGGAAGATTGTTTCAGCACATTTCTAAGCATAATAGTTTTAAAAACCTATTTCTAATAACTGATTTAATTTATCTTTGTCATGATGACAGTAAATAATATTTTACTTGATATTTTTCAAGACACTAATATACAGCTTAAAGTGACATTTAAAGGCTTCACTAGGTTATTAAGGTGAACTAGGCAAATAATTTAGTCCCAAAAATAGTTTTAAAAAATTCAAAACTGCTTTTATTCTAGCCAAAATAAAACAAATAAGACTTTTTCTAGAAGAAAAAATATTATCAGACATACTGTGAAAATTTCCTTGCTCTGTCAATCATCGTTTGGGAAATTTTTAAAAAAGAAAAAAAATTAAAAGGGGGCTAATAATTCTGACTTCAGCTATATATATATATATATATATATATATATATAATATTTCGTTAAATGTATAGTTTTAAAATTGAAATGACAAATAACAGAAAAATAAGGCCCAATCCCAATTCGTTTTATGTAGCCCTACCCCTTACCCTTGAAACCGAGTGTGAATGGCTTCAAGATTTACCCCTAAAAAATAGAACAGCACTACAGCCCCTGCACACGTCATCGCCATCTCTTAATTCATATGAGATCAGACCATTCATCACGGCTGGCGTAGTGATTCCAGCAGCGTTATTTTGGTGTTTATCTTCAGGAAATCACTGAAGGCATATATTATATTCTCATAACGATCTGAACTGTGCCTTTGCAGTGGCCATATTCATCAATGTGCATTAACGATATAGCAGACACTGTAAAAACTCCATCACAGTCACTAGACTTTTCTGACAGGGTGTTGGAGTGTCATTGAGTGACGGTGTGTTGCGAGACTGCTGTACAGGAGCTATTATTAGGGATTATAGATGGCCAACTTTGGCATGTGTTTATTTTAGCATTTTATTTTTTAACAGCATGACAGTAAAACACGAACGCGGTTATGAAGGTTTTAAAACATGTAAACCATGAGAAAACCAACCTTGCTTTTAAAAACTAATGTGTGTGTGTGTGTGTGTGAGAGAGAGAGAGAAGCACAGATGAACATCAGCATCACTTCAGCTCTTCTGTGGAGGATGCAGGAGTCACGGTGTCTTCTGCTCCCTCCTGAAAACAAACAAACAAACAAACAAAAACTCAGAAAATTTAACCCTTTATATCATGCTGGACACATTTCTCAATCAGTTCTATATCTGCAATGTTTAAGAGTCAGTTTCACTTGCTTTATTGGACTAATTAGGAAAAAATAACTACTTACATTGTCTTAAGTGTGTATACACTGTATGTAACCAAATAAAGGCATTACAATATATACATATATACACGCAAAACTCTCTACAATCATGGGGGGGGTGGGGGGTCTCTCCAAACCACAATCAGTGTGCAGCTCCAATTGGATGATGCTCTGGCATCCACAGGACAACAGCGCCAGTGCTTCACCACACACTAGCTATAGGTGGAGTGAAGAGACCGAGATAGAGCCAATTCAGTGACACCGGGTGTAAAAACCCCTGCCCTTTACCAGAAGTGCCATGGGATTATTAATGAGCACAGAGAGTCAGGAGCTCGGTTAAATGTTTCATCTGAAAGACGGCACCCACTGACAGTATAGAGTCCCCTTCACTATACTGGGGCATTAGGACTCACACATACCACAAGTTGAGCGCCCCCTGCTGGCCTCACTAACACCACCTCCTATTTATATATATATATATATATTTCTTAAGTAAACAAAATTTATATTTGTTTACTATCATGATTGAAGGATTATCAGTTTGGCCCTCACCTTCACCTTCTCCAGCTCTGATCCTCCAGGCAGAGACTTCTGGGTAATGTGGAAGGCCTGACCAATCAAACACAGTCATTTCAGGCAAAGTTAAATGATCAGACATGAGCGCACACAAACACACACACACACACATACACACAAACACACACACACACACACACACACACACACAGACACACACACACACAGTTTTACATTTTTGTTGTCAGCAATCTGAACTAGTCTGTCCAAAGATTTTCTAAAGCAACAGAAGGAGCCAACACATGCTTTAATATTCATAATGGAAGAATTATTGATTGGTTTGTTGATGTGGAGATTATTATTATTATTATTAATCCTGCTCCACCTTTTTAGCCTGCTGGACTTCATCTGTAGACTTTGACCTGCTCTTCACTGCCTGCCTCTGAGGAGAAGTGGACTGAAACACACACGAAGAGAGAGAGTGAGTGACACACACACACACACACACACACACACACACACACACACACACACACACACACACACACACACACACACACACACACACACACACACACAGATCAGTACAAAGTAATAATGTACGAGGCCACTGTCAGATGTGCAGTGTGTCGTTCAGTGTTTCTGAATCTCACCTTCTGATCCATGACTGATCTGAGTTATCACACACACTCTGATGAGCCTGCAGACACACAAACAGCTCATTACACACAACACATGGTGACCGAGAGCGTGCGTGTCTAACACTAGAGAGCACTGCAGCACACAAAAAACTATTTAAAGGACTGACAAGGGTGGCGCAGTGGGTAGCACAATCGTCAGCAAGAAGGTCGCTGGTTCGAGTCCCGGCTGGGTCAGTTGGCATTTCTGTGTGGAGTTTGCATGTTCTCCTCGCGTTGGCGTGGGTTTCCTCTGGGTGCCTCCACAGTCCAAACACATATGCTATAGGGGAATTGATTAACTAATTTGGCTGTAGTGTGTGTGTGTGTGTAACCAAATGTCCCCACAAGTATTGCAAAACCAGTAAATGTTAACCTTGTGGGGACATGTTTATTGTATCCATGAGGAAAACGGCTCATAAATCGTACAAAATGAACTATTTAAAAGATGTAAATGTGCAGACTGTTTGCGGTGAGGGTTGAGTTTGGGGGGAGAGGAAAGAATTTACAGTCTGTACAGTAGAAACATCATTACAGATATTGATATGTGTGTGTGTTTAAACTCTGAATATTGCGCAGTGATCATGAAGAGCTCAGAGTAAAACTCACTTCCAGTCCATTTAATCACACCAAGCTGACATTTATGCCCCACACACACACAGATCTGATGTGATGAGCAGTGACTGATCTTCATCTTTGAGTTAAACACTGATAGTCTCTTCAGCTCTCGAGGACAGAAACACTTTGTGGAAAATCTCTTTAAGAGGCCGCTGATGTTTCCAGGGTTTACAACGGAGGCGTGTAGCTCATAAAATACATAATAATAACAATAATAATCACAATGAAAATAATATAATAATAATAATTAATAATAATAATAATAACAACAACAACAACAACAACACCAATAATAATAATAATAATAATAATAATAATAATAATAATAATATATACAATATTAATAATACCAATATAATATTAATAATAATAACAATATAATAATAATAAAAAACAATATAATAATAATTATTATAACAATAATATAATAATAACAACAATAATAACAATAGTATAATAATACAAATAATAATAATATAATAATAATGTGAGACTGATCATAATAATCACAATGAAAATAGTAATTTATATTAAATAATATAAATTTATATTAAATAATAAATAATATTAAATTATATATTAATAAAAATAATAATAAAAATATAATAATAATGATCATAACAATGATAATAATATAATGATAATAATAATTAATAATAATAATAATAACAATAACAACAACAACAACAATGATAATATTAATAACAATAATAAAAATAATAATGACAATATAACAATAATAATTATATATATATATATATATATATATATATATATATATATATATATATATATATATATATATATATATAAATAATAATAATATTAATAATAATTATTATAACTATATAATAATAATAATAATAATAATAATAATAATAACAATAATAACAACAATATTAATAATAACAATATAATAATAAAAATAAGAATATAATAATAATAATTATAACAATAATATAATAACAACAATAACAATAGTATAATAATACAAATAATAATAATAATATAATAATAAAGTGAGACTGATAATGACAGCCAGAAGAGAGAGTAAATGTCAGATTTACTGTCCTGCCCCCATACACCATGCATTACAAACACCTCACACAAGCAGTCGTTTGTTTATTGTAATTTGATGCAAAGATGATCTAATGCATACATAAATACATACACACTCACTGGCCACATTATTAGGAATATCTGCTCATTAATGCAAATTTCCAATCAGCCAATCACACGGGAGCAGCTCACTGCATTTAGGCATGTAGACATGCTCAAGACGATCTGCTGCAGTGCAAACTGAACATCAGAATGGGGAAGAAAGGGGATTTGAGTGACTTTGAACGTGGCATGGTTGTTGCTGCCAGATGGTTATCTGACGGCAAAGGGGGTCCAACACTGTAATAGTAAGGTGTACCTAATAAAATGGTCGGTGAGTCTAAACATTCATACGTTTTGTTTTGCTTGTAAGTCTAAATATTAAAAAACTTCCAAGGATTTAAGATGCTGATGAGTGTTAAACACATCATAACAGTCTTGCGAAATGGCTCCACTGAATCTGTGGCAGCTTTAGTAATGGACAGGCAATAAGACACTGGTTAATAGTAAGAATTGGTACATTATAGTTACCATGTATGTTCTACACTTTTAAAGTCCGCATGAAGAGGAAGCTGCCACCATTGTTTTTTTCTGTATTGTAACGCAGTTCATAGATAAACATGATATTAAATGAGAAAGCAGTGGGTGTGGCTTGTTTTTTATCTACTGTGAGCTGATTGGATGTAGTAAAGTAGGTTTGTCATTCAGAAAGATGGGGAAAAGGGTTTGGGGAGAGTTATTACAACCTAACAGACTCCTCCTCCACACCATTTCTGTTTGTTGTCAAAGTGACTGACAGCTGGATGGGCGTGGTTAAGTATGTTAGCCCCGCCCAATACCTCAGACAGACCTGATCTGAGGATTTACCTGAAGACAAGGGGGGAGTGCATTTGCAGATTTCAATTAAAGCTTACAAGAGCAAACTATTTTATTTCTTAATGAGCTGCACAGATGAATTGTTCACCACAATGTGAGCTAACAAAATCAAAATGGTTAGTTTCGATTTCATGAGTACTTTTAAAGCCAAAACACCTTCGTACATCCTCAAATGTGCTGTATATACTGTATATTCTCCATCGCTGAGTCAGAGCTGCAGCACAGATTTAATAACACACACACCTTTATCTGTTCTTCACCATTAATTTTTAACACTAAACCTTCAAACACACACACACACACACACATGATCTGACACACACATTCACACATGACAGACAAACATCATCAATCAACACACAAACATCCACGGTCAAACAAGGAGCATCCGAGTGTGTTGAGTTCTGAGTGAGCAGATGAATACAAAGCAGCAGAAACACACACACACACACACACACACACACACACACACACACACACACACACACAGGAGAGCATTACAGTACATGCACACAGTGTATCCGTAATAAACCCAGTAAACACACAGAGAGAGTGAATGAACGCCGAGTCTCTTACCTTCCTCCTGTGTGAAGCTGAGAGTGAATCAATCCTCCAACACACAGCGCTGGCGCTCCATCCCTCCCTCACACACACATCATGGACCATTCACAATTACACAAACACACTCTCTCTCTCTCTCTCTCTCAAACACTACAGCTCATGATCCATTAATACTCTCTTTCTCTCTCACACACACACACACACACACACACACCATGGACCATTCACCAGGAGTTTAGCAAGCCGGAGGGGTTGGGGGGGTAACTTGTCCCCCTCAATTTTAGATACAGACCATTTAGAAACAGGTGATTAATAATAAACACAAGATTTTTTAGATCTCATTGATCTGTATATTGTGATTAATATCAGCAGGATTATTGATTATCTGCAGATTTATAATAAACACAAGTGTAGACGTGTCCAGCTGTGGGGTTTTGGAGACGTCTGCATCAGCATATGTGGATAAGAACAGGACGTGTGTTTGGAGATAACTCAGTTTGCTGACCACACTTCATTATTAGTGTTCATTTATTCCTCTGCTGGAGGTCAGAACTGAATTTTGAAGCAAATCTTTGTGGTTAACAAAGGAAATTAAATATGTGGGCTAATGGATGCCTTCAGAGAAGTGAGTTTCCATTTGCAGTGCACTTTGAAAACATCGATGTCATTTTGACCACAGCAATGACGAAAGCTGTAGGTGACCTATTATTTAAAAGCGGGATTTATGTTGCGTCTCCAAAGCTAGTAAAAACAAAAAACACAGCATACGTCAATGCTTTTCATTTCTAGTAGGTTATTTATTAAGTTTCTGTACTGTATATTAGTGGTTTTCTGAGTGAGGGTCGAAGGACAATGAAGGGGGTTCGCCTGGTGATTTACAAAAATCTATTTTTATTAAACCATAAGAATTACCATTTTATTTCTGCAGTGATTTGTAAAAGTAGATTAACAAATAAAAAATAAATAAACAATATCCTACTTAATAATAATAATCATCATCATCATTATTAAAATAGATTTTCTTCATTTCGTAATAAATAATAAATATTAAATTTAATTTCCTAATAAATCGCCTCATTTATTTATTCATATATGATATTAGAATATGTGTTAGCTTTTGTAAGTGATTTCATCTTAATTTAGAACAGAATATGTAATATTCTTAATAATATTTGTAAAGGAAACACAGGCTCTATATGTGTCGTTCACATTTATTTCAGTTCATTTGGAAAGCGAGTGCATGCTTTTACCAAAACTAATATTGGATTATTTTAAATGCGTGTAAAACAATATCATTTGCATAAATAAATGATGGGGTTCTTCTCTAATGAAGTAGTTCCTCCACCCCATTTAGAGCGTCATTATGGACGTTTTACGTTGTAACTAACGTGGTTCAGATGATGATCTGCGACAGAGAAACGACAGGTTTTGGGAAACACTCGTCACTACATCGTTCTTTTCCCAAACGATGCATCGTACTATGATAGTTCAGCTGCGAGCTACGTTGTTCTTTGGGAAACGCACCCCAGTGCAGCACACATGGGTTAAATGCCTCCGCGGACGGACTCTGCGGACGTTTGTTGCCATTTCTGCTGAGAATTTTGGTAAAAATCTTCAAATTTCTGCAGAATCATTTCGAGAGTATCATTGTTGCAATCTACAACCAGAGATTACTGGTGAACACCCTCTTTCGCATGAACTACAAATCCACCGTGTTATGGACTACATGTTCAGTCATGCAGCACACACACACACACACCTGCTCCAAGTCTCCTCTGATTAGACCTTCACAGCTGAAGCTGCTCACAGACTAATGGACTATACGAGAACCTCTCACACACACAGTTTTTGCTGAGTCTTGTCTACTGTTTTTAGTGACACTACGTGATTTTTCTTTGTCTTGTTTTTGATCCTCGCCTTGTTTACTTGTTTAATCCTGTTTGCTTATGTCACCATCACCAGCGATCTACATCCAGAGATACACCTCCCTTTCACATGAACTACAAATCCACCATGTTATGGACTACATATTCCAACCCAGTCTCACAGAAATTCGTAACTTTTTGATTTAGTGGCTAATTCGTATGAATTCGTACGATCTAATTTGTACAATTTAGTACGACTTGCTTATCCCGCAATGACGGTTGGGTTTAGGGGTGGGTTGGGTGCCACGCCTCCTTTTTATAATCATACAATTTCGTAAAACTGAACTCATTATGGACTATATATTCCAACCCAATCAACAAATTCGTACGAATTAGCCACTAAACTGGCAAAACGTAAAATACTTATGTTTCCTCGTGAGATCAGGCTGCATATTCAGTCATGCAGCGCACACACACCCGCTCCAAGTCTCCTCTATGTAGTCTGTGAGCAGCTTCAGCTGTGAAAGTCTAATCAGAGGACACTTGAAGCAGGTGTGTGTGTGTGTGTGCTGCATGACTGAACATGTAGTCCATAACATGGATTTGTAGTTCATGTGAAAGGGACTGTTTACCTGCGATCTCTGGTTGTAGATTGCTGGTGATCGTGACAACCCTAACTAAAACCTTAATATGTGAATTAAAAAATAATCTTTTAAACTTTTATTTAACGTTTAAAATTCAAATCCAATTAGATCCACTTTATTTGGAAAACAAAGCAAGTCTCTCATATAATATCTCTACTAAAAGACAGATAATATTACTGTACAAACTGCATTGACAATAAATCAGATGAACATTTTCATATTAGTCAATAATATTACTGAAATTAATTTAAAACTGAATAAATATAGATTTACACACATTTACTCGAGTAAATAAGCAAAAATAATGATGGGCTAAAAATCTGCGTCCCTACTCGCAGGGTTGATTTGACTTTTGGGCAACGAATATTTTTATAAATGTTATAAATGTTGAGAATGTTCATGAATTCACTCAATCTTGCAATAATGGATGTGTTCTGGTTGTTTTATTGTCAAGTGGATGCTTTCATTCGACAGAAACAACCAAACACTGCACTAAAAAATGTCAATAAATAAATAAGAAAGGAGCAGAATCAAAATAAGAGTCCTGCTGATTAATAATGACACCCTGCAGAGTGTAAACGAGAGAAGATTGATGTTTAGATCTGCGTTCGCCTCCTCTCATATCAGATTGAGTTTCACCACATGAAGTAAAGAGTGCAAAAAAATTGACATGCATCACACACACACACACACACTCTGTGCACATTCCCCACATCAGCCTCTTTAATCAGTCACTCTGAGCAAAACACCCCATATAAAGTCACTCAAATGTGTTTCCAAATCAAACATGTGCTGGAAAATACAAGCTAAACTTCATATGGCACACAACAACAACCTGATATGAAAATAAATAGTCTTTTTTTATCAGGGAAAATGTAGTTTGAGCTGTTTTTGCTTTGTTTTTAATTTATTTAAAGGGGCAGTTCATGCAAAATTTTAATTTTATAATTTCACAAAAGTAAACACTTGTGAATTTCATGTTGAACACAAAAGAAGATATTTTGAAGAATGTTGGAAAAAAGAAGTCGATGACTTTTAGAGCAAGAACAAAAATACCATTGAAGTCAATGGCAGAATATCTTCATTTGCATTCAACAGAGGAAGGAAACTGAGGAAATGATGACTGAGTACTCATTTTTGGGTGTACTGTCCCTTTAAGACAATCCTCCATCATTCATCTGTGCATTTACAAGAGCTCTGTACTGAAATATACACAATATACACACACTCTGAGGGTTAACAATCTGTACTGTCATACACACACACAAACACACACATTCACACACAGAAACACACTTACTTCCACAACACCCTTACACAAACACTCACTATCACATGCAGACACACACACACACAAACCAAAACACACAAGTATACTCTGGCAAACACTTCACTCACACACGCTGAAGCAGTGTCAAGCTTCACTCCTGCAGTCTGTGTGTGTGTGTGTTATAGTGCGCACTCCTGGTCCTCCGCTCCTCCTGCTGGCAGCTGCAGGAACTGCGGGATCTCCAGCTGCTCTTTAGTGAGTAACCCACGCTGATCATCAGCACGACTGCACTGCGCTCGATTCAGCAGCTCCACCAGACCTGACGACACACACAACACAACACTCAATCTACTACACAACACTACCAAAACTAAAACTAAAGGCATCTGAACTCAAAGGTTGCTCTCAGAGTGAACACTAGAGTGAGGGTTCTAGTATGATTATTGTGAGTTTTACCGTCCACGTCCTGATGTTTTCTGCCTCGGCTGTTTGCTCTGGCTGATGGTGAAGAGGTCTGAATCTCCAGAGCAGCTGAAACACACACACATTAGTATTATTAGTGTGATTTATAATTTAATACAGACATTGCATAAGCTACAAGTGGTTAACAGCAGGATATGAATCGCTTGAAGAAGAAATTGCAGCAGTTTCAGAGGATAATTATTCATCATTCATAGTTAAATCTCAAATATTTAATGCAATATTGCATCTGTAAAGACTGAAAAATTAGCATTAATTAATGTTAATGTTTATTTACTGTAATCTTACCAAACATTAATAGTCACAAATACTGTAAGAAATGTGTTGGGTTGCCAAGTCTGCAAGTTCCCCACACAAATTGCCCTTGTTTTACTGCCTGCCCTTTTTTAACTGATGTCTCTAAAGTGTGTGTTTCAGTTTGAGCTGAGAATAGCACACAGATAACGTTTTCTGGCGCTCTGAAACTGACCCTGTCAGGCTTTGATCCTAATTGTGGCGTTTTGTTTTATATAATGGCACTTTAAATGTCACTTTAAATGCAAATTACATTGAGCTCTTTTCAGAAGAGGGCGGAGCTACAAACGCCTGTCACTTTAAATGCAAATTACATTGAGCTCTTTTCAGAAGAGGGCGGAGCTACAAATGCCTGTCACTTTAAATGCTAATTAAATTGAGCTCTTTCCTGAAGAGGGCGGAGCTACAAACGCCTGTCACTTTAAATGCAAATTAAATTGAGCTCTTTACAGAAGAGGGCGGAGCTACAAACGCCTGTCACTTTAAATGCAAATTAAATTGAGCTCTTTACAGAAGAGGGCGGAGCTACAAACGCCTGTCACTTTAAATGCAAATTAAATTGAGCTCTTTACAGAAGAGGGCGGAGCTACAAACGCCTGTCACTTTAAATGCAAATTAAATTGAGCTCTTTTCAGAAGAGGGCGGAGCTACAAACGCCTGTCACTTTAAATGCAAATTAAATTGAGCTCTTTTCAGAAGAGGGCGGAGCTACAAATGCCAGTTACTTTAAATGCAAATTAAATTGAGCTCTTTACAGAAGAGGGCGGAGCTACAAACGCCTGTCACTTTAAATGCAAATTAAATTGAGCTCTTTTCAGAAGAGGGCGGAGCTACAAATGCCAGTTACTTTAAATGCAAATTAAATTGAGCTCTTTACAGAAGAGGGCGGAGCTACAAACGCCTGTCACTTTAAATGCAAATTAAATTGAGCTCTTTTCAGAAGAGGGCGGAGCTACAAACGCCTGTCACTTTAAATGCAAATTAAATTAAGCTCTTTTCGGAAGAGGGCGGAGCTACAAACGCCTGTCACTTTAAATGCAAATTAAATTGAGCTCTTTCCAGAAGAGGGCGGAGCTACAAACGCCTGTCACTTTAAATGCAAATTAAATTGAGCTCTTTTCAGAAGAGGGCGGAGCTACAAATGCCTTTTCAGAAGAGGGCGGAGCTACAAACGCCTGTCACTTTAAATGCAAATTAAATTGAGCTCTTTTCAGAAGAGGGCGGAGCTACAAACGCCTGTGTGTTAGTATAGTGGCAGATTCAAAAACAAGACTAACTTCTTATGCTAATGAGGGAGAGATGATCACTAGTGGGCGGGGCTTTACCCCTCTGATGACACGTACGAAGGGAGAATGTCCATCAGTCTGCTGACTGTATTGTTGTGTGTGTGGGTCTGGTGGAGCTGCTGTCTCCTGCACAGTGCAGTCAGGCTGATGATCAGTGCATTGTTGTGCGTGTCTGTGCCATTATATAAAATAAAATACAATTAGATTATATTTTTTATGATCACATTAAAATATTTTGCTCTACCAAACTTATGTTTTAAAAACGATTCAGGATCATTGGCAGGACCGAAGTAGTTGCATGCAACAAAAGCATATAATCTACAGTTTAACTACCATCTTAAACGTTTACTTTAGACTTATTAAAATATATTTAAATTTAAATTAAATGTTACATTTAAATTACTTTCAATTGCAAGATTACAGCGTTTAACAAATGTTATTGATAACACTTTAAATTAGGACCCAATTCACAGTGTTAAACCATTACCGAACACTACTAGCTTAATAAAGTACTAATTCGCTGTCTATTAATAGTTAGGAAGGTAGAAGTTGGGTTTAGGTTTTGGGTAGTATTAGGGATGCAGTATAAGATCATGCAACTTTATACTAATAAGCAGTTAATATCTTAATAATAGGCAGGTAATAAGCCAGTGGTTAATAGCATGAACTCTGACCTAAAGTGCTACCATCTTATTTTACGACTTTGCAAGATCATGTTGTTTCCTGCATGTAAATGAGCTCTGCTGTGATTGGCTGATTTCTGTGCATGTTAATGAGTTTGACCGTTTCTGAATGAGTTGTGGTTTGAGCGCTGCATCTGAACACAGAGCGTGAAACACTGCAGTGACAGCAGAGAAACAACAGCAGCAACACGAGCCGACAGCAGAGAAGAGCAGCACTGCACAACTGCACTACAAGAAATACAACAGCATTTATCATCTTAAGTCTAACTCTCTCTCATGTTAAAATGTGTTAAGCTTATGCATTTAGTTTCTGCTTCAAAGAATGATCCAGTTCATATTTAGTTCAAATTTATTTCATTTATAAATGAGGCACAATTTATATTGACATACTAAAGCAACATCTGAGCAACTATTGTGCGTATAATTTACTTGCATATATGTATATTTATTATAATTATTCATAACTTTATAACAGTACATTTAACTATTTGCTGTATTTTTTCATTTCTTTTCTAATATTAAAAATGTAAATAAAATATTAAACATTACAGAACTTTAATACATTCACATTAAACACAAATAATGCAACCATTATTAATGTCTTACTTTATAAATATTATTAATTAATTTCAAATAAATATTAATAATATTCTATACTTCATAATAGTAAACATAACTTTAGTGCAACAAATTAAGTATGATAAATAGTAAATAAACATCTAAACAGCAGAACAAAAAACTATATTAATAATAATAATAATTTAAAACATTTAGCAAGTTGTATTTTATCATAACATTTCTTATATTACAAATGTAATCGAAAAATTAATCATCTTTAATGCATTCATGTTAAATAAAAAAGATATCTATTAATAATTTCTTATTATACTAGTAGTATTTAATTTCAAATAAACTGACTGAGAATTATGCATATAATTATGTACATTTATTTATAATTATAGACATTATATATTTTACAATTGTAAGCATAAACTTAGTATTACAAACTAATATTAAATGTAAAATATATATATATATATATATATATATATATATATATATATATATATATATATATATATATATAAATACATATATAAATACACAACTAAAAAGCAGAGCTAAAAAGAATCTATAATAATAATAATAATAATAATAATAATTAAACAATAATAATAATAATAATAATAATAAAACAACATTTAAAAAAATAATAATAATAAAACAACAACAATAATAATAATAAAACAACAATAAAAAATAATAATAAAACAACAATAACAATAATAATAACAATAATAATAATAATTTAGCAAATGTTGTAATTTTTCATAACTTTTCTATTATTACAAAAGTAAACAAAATATTTTTAAAAAGTATAATGTTTTAATTCATGCTAAATAATAAAAAAGAGATATATTAACTAATCATTTCTTATTTTAATATTATTATTTAATTTCTAATAATCTGGCTCTGGCTACTAATAACACACACACACACACACCTCTGTCCAAGCGCACTGTTTTGTTGGCGAGACGAAACACACTGGTGCTCATGTTCAGAGCATCGTTTGAGCCACTCTGGAACACAAACAATATTTAAAAAGAGATGAATGTTGATTATGTATTTGAGTATCTTTACAGCATTGCTGATGTGTGTGATTGAAGCAGAAGGTGTTGTGTATCTGCGCACCAGAGAGAGCTGCACATCCTGCGGCCGCAGCTGCTGCTTCTCCAGGACGGACGACAGAGCTTCACCAACACTCTTACTGGACTTCGCTATGATGCCGATCGTCCTTCCTAAAAATGCTATCTCCAGCCTGCATACAGAGACAGACAGAAGGACACACGCACGCGCACACGCACACACACACACACACACACACACACACACACACACACACACACACACACACACACACACACACACACACACACACACACACAGTATATATGAATTTAAGTCTTGCTTCCCAGATTTAAGGCCACTTTAAAAGGGAAAGTTCACCCAAAAAACTAAAACTGCTGCAATTTACTCTTGTTTCAAACCTGTTTGAGTTTCTTTCTTCTGTTGAACACAAAAGAAGATATTTTGAAGAATGCTGGAAACCTGTAACCACTGACATCTGTAGCATTAGTTTTTGCTATACTATGGATGTCGATGGATTTCAGCTTTCTTTAAAATATCACCTGCAGGAGAGTAAATTTCCATTTTTGAATGAACTTTACTTTTAAAGGCCTTAAAGATGCTGTGTTTCAGATTTTGACTCTTCTACAGCTTAAAAGCGCCATAATATGTGTGCAGATATTCAGAGACATGCTCAGTGGACATTCTTGTTTGTCTGGAAAACAATGCTGAAGTCAGATATTCTGCTTTGAACATGTGCGTTACGTGCCGGAATGATTGTCTTTGTTTTGGTTCTTTTAACCCGCCCACTGCCAGTTTAGCCAATTATATTTCAGCACTCGGGTTGCCAGATAGTGGAAAACAGCACATTTCATTCATTTATTCATTCATAAAGGCTCTGAAAGCATGCGTCCGTGACTGAAATGTGACCTCCAGTGGACAGTAGCAGACTCCGAAATGAGAGTTCCACATGAGGTTATTAATTAGAAAATAATGTAAATATTATGAGTGTAAACATTAGGTGAGCAGGTTACTCAAGTGTCCTAACAACACACTACATGATGAGATATGCAGTGATTAGGCTGTTTGCACCAGACGAAACACGACAGCAATGTAAATACAGCCATTCAGAAGCACAGAATAGTGCACTCCTGCACTCCAGTCAAGCTTTATAATCTAACACATTAAACCTCTTGAACATGATTATTTGTAGATGCTGAATCACTGATATGTGTTGGTTTGCACTGAGTCTCAGATCTAAAGCTCAATTTCAGACATTTCATTTTATTGTCCAGATCTGAGCTGAACTCTCTGCTGCTGCTTTCAGTAGTATGGCAATAAGTGTCATGCAAAACAGCATTCAGACTCACACTATTAGCATTAAACACTGAATAAAGCACATGAGCTGTAGCTGAGCTGATCATTGTGCAGCTGTGAGAAATAGAAACTATTTTTTAAATATAAATTTCAGGTGTTGGTTAGAACAAAAACTTATTTTAATATGGAAAATGTATATAGAACATGATTTAAGGCTTGATTGTCAGACTTGCTTCTCAATCTGGCAACCTGCACTTGCGTTTGTTTTGATCCAGGAGTGCAATACCTAGTTTAACCACTGGGTGTCAAACTTACATACTGCACCTTTAACCCATAGGAGAGAGAGAGAGAGAGAGAGAGAGAGAGAGAGAGAGAGAGAGAGAGAGAGAGAGAGAGAGAGAGAGAGAGAGAGAGAGAGAGAGAGAGAGAGAGAGAGAGAGAGAGAGAGAGAGAGAGAGAGAGAGAGAGAGAGAGAGAGAGAGAGAAAAAGACTCACGCAAAAGTGATTTTGAGCTCCAGGCTGAGCTGCTGATCTCCAAACATTGAACAGTCCTGATCCAGAGACAGAGGCTGACACAAACACAAACACACACTCTTTTCATAAATACTCATATAAAAATCAATAACCTTTCATAAAACTTTTGTACCAAGACAACTCGTATATATGTGTTTTATTTGTACCAATAAAAACAGTAGTGTGGAGATTGTTGAATCTCCAGAGAACCACTTGCACACACTCAAAAGCCAAATAAACAGCTGCAAAGACATTCTATAGTCATTTTAAATGTGTTCCCATTCACAAAACAAAACAACAGTACTCAGATGCTCTCATGCCTAAAGTCATCATTTCACATGTACAGAAATCAGCAGAGCTCAATTCACTGCTTATATTTTGGGGAAAGAAATGTGCACCTTACAAAAAATGAAATGATTAAATGCTGGTATCTTATGTTAAAAGTGTTACAGTGTTTCACATGCCACAGGGCTCAGTTTTGGGCCCGATTTTATTTCCTTTATTTATGCTTTATAAATATTCCAAGCATTACAAGATTCCTCTTTGCATATTCACATAGATGACACTTAATTATACGTGCTAAACAAACCTGGCATGTTATTCCTGATCCAGCTTATTAGCTTGTGTGAATGGCAGATGGGTAAAACATGAGACGGGTGAAACATTGATCATTCAACGATAACAAAACTCAAGTAATACATTGATCTACAAGCAAGTATAATGGGCTGAATAATTAATTGAATTTGCAATGTGTGCATGTGTATGTGTGTGTGTGTGTGTGTGTGTCATGATTGACCAATCAGAATCTAGTATTCCTAAAATATAATATAATATAATATAATATAATATAAAAAACATATCAAATAAAAATATAATAAAATATAATATAATAAAAAATATAATAAAATATAATATACTTTATTAACATAAAAAATAAAACATAACAAAATAAATAAAAATATAATAAAATATAATATACTTTAATAACATAAAAAATAAAACATAACAAAATAAATAAAAATATAATAAAATATAAAATAGTATAATAAATAAAAAATACAATAAAAAATTATATAAAAATAAAAATGATATCAAATAAAAAATATAATATAATAAAAAATAATAAAATATAACATAATATAATATACTTTAACAAAATAAAATAAAATATAATAAAATAAAAAATATATAATAAAAACATAATATTATATAATATAATAAATAAAAAATATAATAAAAATATCAAAAATAAAAAATATAATATAAATTATTTTTATCATAAATAAATTAAACAATGCATATTAAAAGGTCGTTTGAGTTTCTTTCTCCAGTAGAACACAAATGAAGATATTTTAAAAACTGCTGCAAACCTTAAAATATAAATATACATTTTTCCCACAATGGTAGACAATGGATACCGGTTTCCAACATTCTTCAAAATATATTTTTTATGTTTAACATAAATAAATAAATTAAAAAAAAAAAAATAAATAAATAAATAAATAAATAAATAAATAAAATAAAATAAAAAATGCACATTAGGGGAGTTTAAACCTTGACTCCCATAGCATACAGTATATTTTCCTACTATGCAAGTTAATGGTTACTGGTTTCCACCATTCTTCAAAATATCTTCTTTTGTCTTCAACACAAGAAAAAAAACACTTGACGATGACAGAATTTTCACTCTTGGGTAACCAATCAAGCAAACAAACAAACAAACAAACGCAAAACTGATAAAAATATCACAATAGAAGGTTAATATTGCTCAAATGGAAGGGAAATCCTCTGTTTTTACACCACTTGACCTTTTACTGCACTTGACCTTAAAGAAAAAAATTGGGAAAAAACCCGATATATTATAGGAGGATTTACTGATATGTTTTATCTTACTTGGCAACCTGTTTTAGATAACAAAGAAGATGGACCCTTCAGTTATTTTACAAGTATAGAAATATCCCTAATTTCTGCCTTTCATTCTCATAATTCCTTTTGTATAATATTATTTATTTATATTTTATTCTAATATTATACATATTTATTATAGAACCTAAAGTCATATAAGTGCGACGAGTTTTGTTTGTTTGTTTGTGGTCTAAAAAAAGAAACTGTAATGCATGTTTTATATGAAATGTATTATCAGAATTTTATTAATAGCAATAAATTAACTCTGGTTTCATTTTAATTAAAGATGTTTACTGAATTCATATGCACTCCAGTCAAAAAAACCTTTGTTGCTCCATCTTTTTCACTATCATATCTCATAATATAACTTCAAACAGTCCAATAAAGGCAGAGCAAACCATCACAAGTAAAGGAGTAGGGGTGAAATCAGCAAATGTGCACAACTAAACATAACATGTGTAAACTGTACATGAATTTGAGCATTATTAATAAATTATACTAAATCAAATTATGGCTCTTACATCTTCAATCAAACACACTTTTCAACAAAACAATCTTAGTCTTAATGTCTGACCTTGTCTTTTCCCCGCAGGTATAGCAGGACGTCCCGCAGAGGAAAGGCTCTTTTCTCACACAGGCTGCTGATCATGTCTCTGAGGCTCAGACCGGCTCTGGCTGACACCAGGCTGGCTGTCCCGTCCGGCAGGTATACGCAGCAGTATTTATCGGCTGTTGGAGATCCAGAACTCAAGGCCTCGGGATCCGAGACGGCAACACTGCAGCGCCCGTTCTAATGCAACAACAACAACACATCAGCATTTAGCACCACTGACTACTGTAGTGATCATTCACACTCCAGACTAGGCATGGGCATCGGTTTCAAGGTTTACCGCAGTTTGGAAAAGATAACAATAACAAAAGATAACGATACCACTGATAAAAAGTCTTTCAATTTGATCAAAAATAAATATTTAAAAATAAGAATCCCTTTTTAATATTATGCCAACAACATTTCCTAAATATAAACGTTCTCCAATATCATTTATAAATATCTACTGTAGTTATTACACAAGTTACAAATTGGTTTCTCTTCCCCTTTCAATAAATATGTGCTTTGATGATTTACCTCCGCTCTGCCGGATCCAGACACCAACTCCAGACTGCTGTTAGACTTCACCGAGATCTGAGACTCCTTACGAGATACTGCCATGCGCTCAAATGACTGATCCGCTGAAAACACACACAAATACACACACACACACACACTGTTAATCTAATTCATGATCAATAGCTGAAAACAGAAGGAAAATAAAAGCTAGTGCGTCTGTTGTGCTTTTCCAGATATTATCCTTCATGTAGTGTCTATTTAGATGCTTGTGAATGTAAAAGGATCCTATAGTGAAGTGTGTTTGGGAATTTGCAGTAAGTGGTGGACCAATCACAGCAGACATAGGCATATGACCAAATAGAGTAGATCAAAAAAGCTGGATCTGACCAATTAGAGTGGAGTAGAGCTAGATCTGACCAATTGGAGCAGAGTAAGGCTAGATCTGACCAATCAAAGAAGAGTAAGGCTAGATCTGACCAATTGGGGCAGAGTAAAGCCAGATCTGACCAATCAAAGCAGAGTAAAGCCAGATCTGACCAATCAAAGCAGAGTAGCAGAGTAAAGCCAGATCTGACCAATCAAAGCAGAGTAAAACCAGATCTGACCAATTGGGACAGAGTGGTACCACATGTGACCAATCAGAGTAGCGTCAGATCTGACCAATAAGAGCAAAGAACAGGTAAATCTGACCAATCGTAGCAAGGTAGAACCAAGTTTGAACAATTAAAGCATTGTAGATTCAGATCTGACCAATCAGAGCACCGCAGGGCTAGATCTGACCAACCAAAGCACAGTAAACCCAGATCTGATCTATCAGAGTAGCTTTAGATCTGACTAATAAGACCAAAGAAGAGCCAGATCTGACCAATCGGAGCAACGCAGAGCTAGATCTGATCAATCAGAGAATAGAAAATCAAAACAACTAATCAGAGCATGGTAGAATCAAGTCTGATCAATTAAAGCATAATAGATCCAAATCAGACCAATCAGAGAACAATATAGTCCAATCTGACTAATCAGGGCACAGTAAGCCAGATCTAACCAATCACAGCACAGCAAGGCTAGATCTGACCAATCAAGGCACGGTAAACCTAGATCTGACCTTTCAGAGAGGCTTCAGATCTCTGACCTGTAAGAGCAGAGAAGAATCAGATCTGACGAATAAGAGCAATGTAGAGACAAATCAGAGCACAGTAAATCAGAACGACCAATCAGAGCAAGGTAGAACAGAGTCTGAACAATTAAAGCATAGTAGATACAGATCAGACCAATTAGAGAAGAGTAAAGTGAAATCTGGCCAATCAGAGCAGAGCAGCTTCTCTAAATTAAGAGGTTTAGAAAGATCCTTGGACCAGCTGCTTCAGACACTATGAATAGAGCGGATGCTGCTATATTGGGCCAGGAGATCTCTCTCTAGCTCTTTTTATTTTATTTTTTCTATTAATTTTAAGGGTTTCTGACACTATTGGGTTTAAACTCATAGTACAAAAAAAACCTACCAAATATTAATTTCAAACACTCCAATTAAAAAAAAAAAGACTACACAATGGTGTAACTTTTCTTCTCTTCTCTTCTCTTCTTTTTAGGGGGGAAATACCGTCCAGCCTACTGTATATGAGAAAGCAGAAGTGTTTTAGGACTCTGGATGGATGTAACTATTGTTGATTGAGCTCATGTCCATGTGTTGTACCATCAGTCCATATATTGATTATTGTGA